TTCGATCCCCAGCCAGGGAGCTGATCCACTTGGGAAGCAGACATCTCCTGTCTCAGCCACTGCTCCCCTCAGCAGTGTCTTTCAGTCAATCTGCATTTTCTGTTCCCTACTGTCTCTGGTGTAATCCTCTCACCTCCCCTGCACCACCCCCATACCTCTGGCCTACACCCCAGCTCTTGTACACATGAAAAAAATAAAATAAATCTTTAAGAAAAATAATAGTTTCCTGATAAAACTCCAAAAATTACCCATCCTTTCATGTGCAAATGCTCAGACTTGGCCTAAAGCTGTGTCTGAAACTACTGAGGCCTGAAATCTTGTCACAAGTCTTAGGTGTCCTCTGGCAGGGAATCACAACAAAGGCATTAGGCAATTTCCAATGAGCTGGGGAGAAGTGAATCAAAATTAAAAATATACCACACAATCCACCAGAAGTCAAGGTAATGGCTGCCATTGCATTGTCTCTGACAGACCCAGGCAGCCTCCCCACATGAGTCCCCCATATGTCTCTTCCTAGTGTCAGTACCTGTCTTTCTGTCATATGAATCTATTTAAAAATTCTTAATATATTTCCAAATTTTAATTAAATTTATGCATAAATTTTATGATTTTAACTATATTTAATTCTAGGTTTGATATTTTAAAATTTGTAAGTTTATCTTATATCAAACAACTTTGCATTATTTAATTCTATCTAACATGTTATCAGTAAATTCTTGTGGTTTTCCAACATAGAAAACCACATTATCTAGGAATAATAACAGTTATATTTCTTTTGACTATTATAACTCTCATTTCCTTTTCTAAAAAACCCTAATGGGGTTTCTGGTATTAAGCCAAACTTGCATTTCTGGAATAAAATCAACTTGGTCACAGTGATGCTTTTGTATACATTATGTTTTTCTTTAGCACTTTTTATTGTGTTCATAAGTTTGGTTGAAAGTTTGGTTTAAAATATATAAAATATCTTAGAGTGCAATGGGGTCATTTTTCATTTTTTCAAACTCTTATTTCCATTTTTAAACTTTTAAAAATTTTATTTTGAAAGTATACAATTTATTTCTGTTCTTTGGTGGCTAGTCTAAACATTTTAACTTGCTTATTTAAATAAAGATATATAGTCAATATATTTATTCTTCTTTCAAGTTTCTATCGGTCTTAGAAACTTTTAACCTTTATCCATCCCTTTGCATTTAAGATTTCCTAGTGCAACATTTTATTATATTGTTTTCCATGAATCTCACAAATCAGACCTAGTATTTGAAAAAAGACATTCAGTATCATGATCAGACTATTACATAAAGCAATCAGCAGCATCCATAACCCAAAAAATCCCCATTAAAATCCTTTTTGAAATGCTTCCCACTTCCCACAGAAAAGAAACTAAAATAACCTATCATATAAGGAGTTAAAAATACAGCCCTGGAGTTTGTCCATACACACAAATGTTATCTAAAACATGTATTCTTTGTAGCGGGTAGGTCCAGCCACCATTGTGTATGACTGACTTTACAAACCTAATCTAATTTTCCCTACTGTGACTATGGCTCTCCTCTCAAGTTCAGCTTTGTTTCCAGGCAGTAACCACAGCCTTCTGTCACTGCTGTATCAACTGATGCTGCTGGAGTCACATTCCCTCTCCTCAGTCTCATGGATATGTAAAATATTGACTCCCATCAGTATGGACCACAGTGTCTGTTTCCAAAATTTTCTTTTCCCATACATCCAAAATTGGAAGATTGGGAGCCTCCCTGAAGGCCTAGGGGTTAAGTTGCAGTGTTATCATGTTAGCCTGAGTTTAATCCCGGCCAGGGAGCTGACCCACAAGGCACTGTAGACGTCTCCTGTCTTGCCCGGTGCTCCCCTCAGCAGTGTATTTCAGTAGATCCACCTGTTCTGCTCCCTACTCTGTCTCTGGTGAATCCTCTTATCCTCTGTACTTCTGGCCTATACCCCAGTTCTTCTACACACACACACACACACACACACACACACAAGAAGATTCCCCATACTGTTCAAAATAATCTCTTAGGTGATATTCTTCAGTGTCCTCTTTAATGCCACCAACAAAAATCTTTCTCACAGTTGACGTAATCTCATGGTATTGTAGGGACCTTGGTAGAGTTCATTTTGTTGACGGCTATTACCAGCTGCTTCAAGCCCAGAGTAGAGGCCAGTAGTGCATGTTTAAGGATCTGCCTATTCTTAGAATTATCCACCTTGAACTCACCCATAGGCGCAACACAGTCTGCCTGTGCTGTGCTGGTGATTGTGTTCTTGATGAGGTCCCTGCGGCCCAGGACACTGGTGATGGTGATAAAGTATTTATTGGTCCGAAATATCCAGAGGGAGATGTCTCCCTGCTCTGACTTCAGCTTGTCCAGTGCCCAGATGTATATGAAGGAGCCTTTGCCCATCTTGGCTGCCTCCTTTTTGAACTTCTCAGTGGTTCTTTTGTTGCTGCAGTGGTGGGGGACTTGTCAGAGTTGAAATGAGTCTTCTCATTGCCCATGGTGGTGCGTTCATCAGTCAAGGAAAGGGGAACAAATCTGACTCAGGGATCAAAAGGACCTTTTGTTTTTAAAGACATATTAAACATTTATTTCATGTAAAGTAACTGAAAATTCTAAAATCTATGCTGTTTGCGGACAAGCAGTTTATGGTAGTATATGTGAGTATGGATTTATTATTTTGAATTACCAGAGAGGATTTTAACCCTACTGCTATTGAGGAAGGCAACCAAAAGAACATGGCCATCTGTTAACTCAACAGCTATACTCAGAAGAAAAGAGGAATTCGCTTTTGTCCTGATTGTGTCTGTGAGGCAGTGTTATTGTAAGTATCACTCTCTGGGGGTGTTATTCCTTGACTAACCTTGCTTTATGTGCTTGTGGAATGGTCTTCTGTTCCAGTCTGCACAAACCAGATTTTGTCTTCTGTCTTTACTTGTGGTCCTTTTGATGTTGATTTTTGGAATTGGGGTCCTTGGGTTCACTCTGGGAAAGGTTTCACCAGAGCTCCCCTTTCAGTAGCAGGTGGTGAATTTTTCCACAAGACAGACACTCAGTTATATTTAAAGAGCAGGTTTATTAGGGAAAAGGACAGGCGTATTGGACACTTGCATAGGCATAAACAGGCAGGGAGACATGCCCCAGAAGGGGCAGGCTGGAGAGGGAGAGAGAGAGAGAGAGAGAGAGAGAGAGAGAGAGAGAGGAAGGAAGGAAGGAAGGAGACCTGCATGGTGCAGGCAGGGGGCCTTAGGAGAGTGGCCTCCCCTGAGGGAGGTCAGTGCAGAGAGGTCCTGGCATAGTGGTCATGGGCAGGCAGGAGGCTGCTGCCCCGAAGAGGGAGAGAGCCGGTGGAAAGAAGCAACTGCATAGGCACAGGTGGGCAGAAGACTGCTGCCCAGTGCTGGTGCAGAGACTGCACTGATATAGGCAGCTTCTCTTTGGGAGGGGCTCACTCCTTGTGAGCCTAGGTTTGTTGATTTTGAATAAAATCTGAAAGGAACTGAGATTCCTTAAAGAGCTTCATCTCCACGTCCTTAGCTTTTACTTTTGGGTCTGAGCTTCAGACACAGCTCCCAACTGTCTGTTATCTGCTGGGACCTCCCATTGACATCCCTGCATGGTGCCTGAGGACCTTGCTTTTCTGGCTGTGGCAAGGATCTTGATTTTTATGGCCGTGTTAATTGCCATCTCCCTTGTGTGAATCAGCCTTGTGATACCTCCCCCTACATTTCTTCCTCCATCACTTTGAATCTGGTTCCAGGCATCAGGAG